TTGTAATATAGTATATATGTAAATATATGATTAGAAGTCCAACATATCAAGATTCCTTGTCCCATCCCAAAAAATAAATGTGAATCCAACCAACCTTGTTGGCACGCACATTGTCGTTTTCATCTTTTTGGGTTTTCCAATTAATATTGGCCCTTTTATCTTCGCTCCACACCATAAAGTTGGCTATATCCTCATCTTTTAACTATCTTTCTTAAGTGAAAAAAGTCTAATCAATGGGAAAGTCTTTACGCTCCCTCACTTTCAAAGATATTAGAATTTTTATTTAATATATTATCGGTATATATCTTTTATATATTATTAATGAATTAAATAATATTATTTTATTAATAAGATAAATCATATAATAGTATCTCATTAATGAATGAATTTTTTAAAAAATATATTAATTTTTATATATTTATTTTAAAAATTAATATTTATTCATTAATAAATTATTACTATTTTATTCACTAATAGTATAAAAGATCTATATACTAATAATATATAAAATATAAATAGTCAGGTCCTAGATGGAGTTGAAAATGTTGGGCTTAGCTTCCTCTAGGTGGAGGTAGCTTAAAACTAAAGCTCATTCATAAAAGACTTTTTAATTCTTTCATGTTATAGGGTTTTAAACCCTTATATAGTTGAAAAAAAAAAAAGAGTATGGCGACAAAATAGAAAAAAAAGAGAGAAAACAATTGTGCAATTATGGTTAAATAATTTGATCAAAGTCAATCTATTATCCTATTAAACTGAAATTTAATCAGTGTGTTCATAACTTATTGTTCTTTAGTCTGAATGTTAAGATCAGACTTTGAGTTTTCTTCCTAATGATTTCGTGGGTATTTATTAATCTTTAAATTTGTTGAGACTTTTTCAGTTTTCTTTTACAAGATTATTTTTTTATCAAGATTATTTAATCTTAAGATATTGTAGTTGTATACCTCTAGTTCTAGCTAGAGAAAATTTTGTATTTTCATTATTTTGATAGTGAAGATTATTTGTTGTTGTCCATAGTTTTTGCTCCTCATTTTGATGAGGTTTTTCATGTAAATTGCTTGTATCCTTGTGTTTGTGGTTTGGTGATTTATTTGTTAGCTCTATTTGTTTGTTTCATGCTAGATTCATACAAGAAAAAGATAATTTGATTTTTTTCTCTGCGTGACGTATTTGGTTTGAATATTATTTAAGGTTATTTTATCCCATCAAAGTAGTATCAGAGCTCAAGCTCTTTGATTTGTGTCTTGTATTGAATAATGAAAGTCAATACAAGTAGAACGATTAATTTGAATGATTCAAATTACCATATGTGGAAAGGGTAGATGAAGACTTACTTTATGTGAGAGATTATTATTTGCCTATATTTGACACTAAAAAGCCTGAAAATAAAATAGATGTGGAATTAAATTTGTTTCATCGACATGTATGTGATTATCTTAGATAGTGAGTAGATGATAATATTTTGAACCATGTTATTGAAAAATACATGCACACATTCTTTGGAGCAAGCTTGAGCAGTTGTTTGCTCAAAAAATTGAGAATAATAAATTATTTTTAATTAAATAGTTGATGAGTTTGAAATATCAGGATGGCATTCTTATGATAAAGCATTTGAATGCATATCAAAGTATTATTAATCTGTTGACTAACACAAATATCAAGTTTGAAGATAAGATATAAAGTTTACGACTTCTTGGTACATTGTCGAACTCATGAGAGACGTTTAGAATAACGTTATCTAACTCAGTCTCAAATAGTATTATTACTATAGATTTGGCTAAAAGTGGTGTTTTGAATGAAAAGATGAGTAGAAGTCACATGGTTATTTCTCACAGTCTAAGGTCTTAGTCATAAAAAATTGGAAGACGAGTAAAAGTAAAAGTCCAAAGAATAGAGACAAAAGTAAGAGTAAGTCTAACAAATTTAACAATATTGAGTGTCATTGCTGTGGTTTGAAAGAACATAAAAGAAAATATTGTCCAAAGTTGAAAAGAAACAACAATAGTGACAAAAATAAGGAAAAAAATAATGATGATGGTAATGACGTTGATAAAGTTGCTACTGTCACAGATAACTTCCTTATTTTATATGATGATGATGTTGTTAATCTTACACGTCATGAGACTAGTTGGGTGATTGATACCGGTGCTGCCATTCATGTTATATCTCGAAAAGACTACTTTATATCATACACACCTGGTGATTTTGAAAGTGTTAAAATGAGTAATGATAACCCAACTAAAGCCATTAGTATAGGAGATGTATTCTTAGAGACCAATAATGACATTACATTGGTCTTGAAAAATATTAAACATATTTTCGATATTCGCATGAATTTAATTTTTGTAAGGAAGTTTCATAATGAAGGGTTTTACAACACTTTTGTGATGGTCAATGGAAACTCACTAAAGGTTCTATGATTTTAACTAAGGTACAAAGAGCTCCTTATTGTATTTATTATAGGCAAAGGTATTCGATTCCATTATCAATGCAATAGATAATGATGATACAATTGAGCTTTGACACAAGCGACTTAGTCACATGAGCAAAAAAGGTTTAAAAGTTTTGGCCAAAAAAATTTTTTTTTTTTGGGTGAAGAATGTATCCTTGAAGAAGTGTGACCTTTGCTTGGCTAGGAAACAAACCAAAGTTGCATTCAAAACATCTCCTCTATCAAGAAAGCCTTGTATACTTGATTTAGTATGTTATGATATTTGTGGTCCTTTGAGAACAAAAACACTGGGTGGTTCCATTTATTTTGTGACTTTTATATATGATTATTCAAGGAAGATATGGGCTTATACCTTAAAATCAAAAGACTAAGTGTTAGATATGTTTAAACAATTTTATGCTTTAGTTGAAAAACAAACGGGGTTGAAATTAAAATGCATAAAGACTAATAATGGAGGTGAGTACATTGGACCTTTTGATGAATATTGTAGACAACATGGTATTAAACATCAAAGGCACTTCTTAAAACCCCTCAGTTGAATGGGTTAGCTAAGAAGATAAACTAGACACTAATGAAAAAGGTGAGATGTTTGTTTTCACGAGCACAATTATTAAAATCTTTTTGAAGTGAGGCTTTGAGAATAGTTGTACATGTTTGGAATCTTTCACCATTTGTTTTTCTAGATTTTAATGTTCTAAATAAAGTTTGGTAGGGCAAGAATGTGTCTTATGATCACTAGCGCACTTTTGGATACATGGCTTTTGTGCATATTCCCAAATATGAGAGGTCCAAGCTTAATGTCAAGACTAGACTATGTGTATTCTTTAGTTATGACCATGATGAGTTTAGCTACAAATTTTATAACCTAGTATAGAAAAACTTGTGAAAAGCAAGGATGTTGTTTTTATTGAAGACCATACAATACAAGATATTCTAAAGACTGACACATCGATTCTATGATGTAATGATGATTTGATTGACTTAGATCTAGTTCTTCTAACACATGTGCCTACAAAGATTAAAGATGTTAAAGATAATCAATATAATACAAGTGATGTTAATACTAATCCTACACAGGTTAAAGTGGATAATGATACCTATGAACAGTCACCGGTATCAAAGGTTCAACCAAAAGTTTCATTCAAAAGATCTATTAGAGATCGATAGCCTTTTACATAGGGATGGCATCGGGTCGGGTTCGGGGCGAGTTTTGCTCGCCTCGAACCCGACCCGAATTTTTTTAATACCCGAACCCGACCGACCAGACATTATGTAAATCGTACATGACCCGACCCAACCCGAAATTAATAAAAATATTATTTTTTAAATATAAAATATTATTTTTTAAATATAAATATTTAAAAATATTATTATATAAATAAATAAATATAAATAAATAATTAATTAAAAAATAATTTTTTAATAATGTCGGGTCGGGTAGGGTCGGGTTTTAGGCATACCCGAACCCGACCCAATCCCGAATGTTACCTAATTTTACTCGACCCGACCCTAACTCGAAACCCGAAATTTAAAAAAAAAAAACCCGACCTTATAGGGTCGAGTCGGGCCGAAACCCGTTGGGGACGGGCTTGATTGCCGTCCCTACTTTTACACGATATTCTGTTGATGAGTCTGTGATGCTAACTAACGAAAGAGAACCCGAATGTTATGCAAAGGTTATGAAAGATAAACACAAAAAAGAGTGGGTTTGTGCCATGCAAAATGAGATGAAGTCTTTGCATGAGAATAATACTTTTAAGCTAGTAATACTATCAAAGGAGAAACTTGAAGTTTTATCATTCAATCACCAGAATGGCGATTCCCTCCACATAGTCGGAAATGGGAGATTTGTTGGGCTTGATTTCCTTTATATGGAAGTGGCCTAAAACTAAAACCCATTCACGAAGGGTTTTTTAGTTCTTTCATACTTGGTTATAGGGTTTTAAACCTTTATATGGCTGAAAAAAAAATAGTGTGGCGACAAAATAGAGAAAAAAGAGAGAAAAGTGGGTTTTGTATAGTTCCATTCAAATAGTTTGATCAAGGTCAATTTGTTGTCCGATTAAGCTAAAATTTTATCAGTGTGTTCATGACTCATTGTATTTCAATTTGAACAATGAGATCAGGTTTTATGTTTTCTACTTACTAATTTTATGGGTATTTGTTAATCCCTAAATTTATTGAGACTTCTCCAATTTTTTTTTACAAAATTGTTTCTTTACTAAAATTGTTTAATCTTGAGATATTGTGATTGTATACTTCTAGTTCTAGCTAGAAAGAACTTTATATTTTTATTTTTTATAGTGAAAATTATTTGTTGCTGCTCGTGGTTTTTATTTCTCGTTTTAGAAAGGTTTTTCACATAAATTGCTTATATCCTTGTGCTTGTAGTTTGGTGATTTATTTATTAGCTCTATTTATTTAATTCCTTCTAGATTCACACAAAAGAGAGATAATTTAATTTTTTTAGCTATGTGACATATTCGATTTGAATATTGTTTGAGGTTATTTTATTCTGTCAAAGAACAGCAAGTGAAATATATTCATGGCAAAATCAAGTAATCCCAATGTATTTAAACCTTATGCAAAGCAATTTCAGGAGGACTTCTCATTGTTTTTAAGAATGCGATCAGAAGAAATAGAACCTCGAGGGCATATGGTCCTTACCTTAATGGGTAGGAGAAACCCAACCCCTCCACCGAGTTTTATGGTTGAGAATTGCTAGCAACATCACTTTGTGATTTGGTGGAAGAGGTTATTTTTTTTCTATTCCCAACCTACTTAATTATTTTCTAACTTATTTTCTTTTTTGTACAATAATTGCTATTTCATTGTGGGGACTTGTGAAAGTGGCTGATTTGGATTCATTCAACCTTCCCCGGTATACACACTATAAGGAAGAAATAAGAGAGATTATTCAAGAGGAGGGGTCCTTTGAACTTGACAGCTAGAAGTTTTCGTAGTTGATTGGGAGACGAAACAAGATATCAACAATGGTTCTGTGTTGGACAAGTATGAAAGGGGACAAAAGCTTGCAAATATTTTAAGAACACTTGCTTGCTTGACATTTTGGAGATGCTATAATTGATAGGTTATTTGCAAGGTTAGCACTACATCGGGCAGAGAATCTTGATTCCAATGATGATAAGGTGATTAATTTTGTGGTTTCAATAACAGAGAAGTAGACAGCAAATATTCATATGCTTTAGCTTTAGTTAAAAAAGGAAGCTTTATTCCACTATCTACCTGAATACCTTATATAATTAAGTTGGCTCTGTTGAACGTATTAAGAGCTAATATGTGTTTGGAGCTCTCTTGGATTAATAATTACCAAAGTTCTGAAATATAAAAGCATTCCTTGAGGTCTAAAAATATTTTGGTGTTCTGAATAGAATTTCTGGCTCCTCCATTTCTGGCAACCAGTTTAAATCATCCCTCTGTGTCTTAAAAGTATATCTCAAGCATTAGATTAAAAAATAAAATAAAATAAATATAAAATTTAATTTAATTGATTCATACAATTATTATTATTATATAGCTTCATTCTTCATTGTTTGAGAACAAAATCTGCTGCTGGCTGTATCAATTTAAAAATAGAAAGAGGGAAAAGAAAACTCATAAGTAAAAATTGTGTCATGCCTTGTTGCCTTTTCTTTTTGTTTGGATAAATGGAATTTTATTCATCCAAAGAAGCAAGCTGCTATAAAATGAACAAAAAGCTGGAAAGAGCAGTAAAACAGTCTTTGCATATATAGCAAAAACGACCACGAACAAAAGCAGAAATTAAACAAACATGTCCTCTGTACCCGGCCAGTTTTCATTTATCATCCTGTTGATCCCGTGCACTTACAATCTGCTGGAATCTATAAAGTCTTCATCTGCGACTTCTCTAATGTGATTTAGAATAACATGAACAGAGCTGGCCTTCGCACCACGAATCTTGCTGCTATTTGTCCCATCCTGATAAAGTAAAAGACACATACCCCCAGCCTGTCTTATCACTATACTTCAATTGAAGGTATCCCCTTACTCTTTCGTACCAAGTTGAATTCACTACACCAATTAAAGGCTCCCAAGTCTGCTTATTAAAATCATAAGTAAAGAATAAATGATTTTTATCTGGTTTCCAAGAAAATCAATCACCTATATATTGCATCCTGAGGCCATGTGTCCTGTCAATTCCCAATTACTCCATCTTCTTTGGCCAACGTCAAAAGCTTATAAATACTTTGTAATTAATTTTATTTTAAAAAATAACCATACTTTTTTCTACTTTATATTATATGGAGTTTAATAAATGCTTAAATTAAATGTAACAAAATAATTTATATTCGAATAAATATTTATCTGTAATGATATATATGTTTGGATTTTTTTAAAAAGAAGATAAATTTAATTTTTTTTAAGTTAGATACACATTAGAGTTAGATTACATCATTTATATCTAATTTGAGAATATATAAAAATTAATTTTTATTTATTTAATTTTATATTTATATATAATATATTAATAAAATTATTATTTAATATTTTAATTTAAAATTAATTTAATACAAATATTATATTTATATATAATTAAATTTTAGTTTACATTAAAATATTATATAAATATTATATTAAATTAATTTAAACCGAATCCATTATTATTTATAAATATATAGATAAAAAAAATAACATTTTGATATTAAAATCATATGTAACGTAAAAGAGTCACTCAAGCAAAAACTTGTCTTCTTGCCGTCCTTTTTAAGTAAATTCATTCTCATTCAATAGTGATCCATGTTTTTATTATTAAAAAGTAAGTTGATGTGTTTTAAGAGCATGATTAGGTGATATGTACACTAAAGGGCATACATAATTGAATTCTCATCTCATTTATTCGGTTCCATAGGAATTTTCATGAAAATTTGACGTGGTTCAATTATTATCACAAATTCAGATTGAAATCATGAAATTAATGATAGAGTGTTAATTACTTCGAAAAAAATTACAAAAAAAAAAAAGAAACAAAAAAATGAATCAATGACATTAACAACAGCAGCTGGAAACTCAGCGACTGTCCTCATTCTGATATTTCTCAGCCAATATTGTTAATTAAAGGGGAAATTAGTAGGAAATAAATTGGAAAACTCGGGAAATTAATGAAGGATTGATTTTTATTTATTCATACTCAAAGATGCATCAAATACAGTAATATTTGTAGAATACAATAAATACTTTGACCCTGAAAACATCTATAAAAGGTAAAAGATATATATATATATATATATATATATTGGGCCCCATTTTATTTTGAGAATTAGCCGGTGAAGATAATCAAGCTTTTATAAGGGAAATAATCACATTGACAAACTCAGTCTTCTCCTTGGACATGCGATCAGCAACGATTTCTCTGTACCTCCGGAACACCTCATCAATGATTGCTTCACCAAAGTGGCTGGCAAGCAATGGCTCAGCCACGGCTCTCATGCACTTTGCAACATTGTACCCACCATCCTTGAATGCATCAGACAAGTCAACTTCATTCTGATATGCATTCCAATTCACTGCCGTAACCTCCAAGCGATCTATGGTGAAGGACCCTTCCTTCAGAACCTCTGATTTAACCTCAGCTGGAGATGGTGTGTACTGAGGAATGTTGAAGGAGTTCAGTTTCTCTTCTTCTATGAGTCCCTGCATTTGTTCATGATTAATTTCATTGTTTGTACTTTATGCAAATTAAACCTTTAACCACAGTAGTTAATCTTTTCTTTAGGAAAATAACAGCTTTTTGCCATTTTGATGAACTTTTCTTGGTTCATATGGGCCAGTGAGCTCTCACTGCTCGAAAATGACACATAAATCGGCCAAAATTAAGCACAGGAATCTGACATGACTCAAAATCGCTAGATAATGTGTATTTATATCAAGGAAAATGATTATCCCTGCATGTAATTTATGTACCTCAAAGACCATTTCATTGAGAGCCTTGGCCAAAAGCTCCCAAATGTAACAACACTCTTTGCTTGCAGGATCATCACTTCTTCTCCCTAAAAATGTCAAAACCATATGCCCTCCAGCCACTAGTTCCTCTGATCTACACTTCAAAAACAATGAAAAATCTTGCTGGAATTGCTCATAATATGCTCTCAGCACGTCTGGGGGACTTGTAGTAGCCATGTAAATGTTCCCTTTATTACTTTCCAGCCCTTCGGGAACCTGAATGGAAATATAATTCACTCATAAAGTACTGATACTGTATTTTACATGAATATAATTTCCAAAACATTAGCTGATACTAAACCTGAGAGAGCCACTGAAGACTATAGGAAGAGTGTATGAAATGCAGACTCTTGTTTCTGAAAAGCCTGCCATAGAAAGAACCAGGCACTCCAGTGAAAAAACATGGTCCGCTGCCAGCAAAAAGTTGTTTCTTCAGTTTGTTTTGGAAGCTGGGCAAGGATTTGAAAATCGTGTTGAAGTCATTCCCCGGAAGGTCATTCAAGAACACTTGATACTCGGGTGATTTTTGGCCTATCTTTTGGCGAATGCTATCCACCACTTTGATAAGTTCAGATATCACGAACAAAGTGTTTGGTCCTGAAGAACAACCCAAATCTGCAATGGCTATGGCTGCAGGGTAGGTGCTGCAATAAAACTTAGTTATGGCTTCCTCTGTGATTGGCTTTGTCATGGATATCACCTTTTGCTGTCCAAATTAGTTCAAGTCAAAACAAAAAATCTTCAGTATATGAAACTTATTGACAAATTATTTTCTGATATTTTCCAATCAAGGGAGAGTTAATCAATTACCTGAACTAAAGAGTTGTTCGCATAACTGGTTTCTCCAACTCCTCCTTTCATATGAAGCACTTGAACTACTTCCATCTCGACCTCTATCTCTCCCTCTCTTACTAGCTATCAAGCTGGAATAATGGCTAACTTGTGTGCTCAATGAGACGCTGCATCTCCTATTTATAGGTGTTATTTGCCTCTCGGGTACTCAGGTGTTGTTCAGCGTTTATTGTTTTTAACACTATTATTTTATTCCTTTTTTTGGATCATCCATTTCAACCAATCAAAAGAAGATCCTTTTCTTGTAACAATTATTCCTATCTACAAGGCTATACAGGATAAAAATAAAGGTGTAGTTGGTGAAATTTTTTATTAGAAATAAGTAAACTAAAATTTTGATAAAAAATATGAACTAGATACGTTGATAGAATTTATTGTGAAAATTAATAATATGTAAAAAATATATTTAAAAAATTATTAAAATTTAAATATTATAGGTAAAATTTTTGTTAATGTTTTTACTAAAAAAATATATTTAATAAATATATCAAAATTGATTAAAATTTTTTAAAATTTTATATATTTAATATATGTGATGAGATCTTTTAATTTATCAATTTTAATTTTTAATTTTAATTTTTAATTTATTTATTTTTAATAAAAAATTTCATAAACTTCATCTATAAAAATTTCATGTAAGATTCCGTCACTATAAAAACCTATACACAACAACCACCAAAGCATTTTTACTGACGTTGTAGTATTGCTAGAGAATTATAAACCAAAGTCCAACATATCAAGATTACATGTCCCATCCTAACGAGCTCATTGGCTCGCGCATTGTTCATTTTATCTTTTTGGGTTTTCCAATTAATATTGGCACGTTTTTCTTCACTTCACATTATAAAGTTGGCTATATCCCCATCTTTTTTCTCTCTTTAAGTGAAGAAAGGGAGGTCTTCTCCATCCCACACGTTAGGAGATATTAGAATTTATATTTAATATATTATTGGTGTATATATTTTATATATTAATAAATTAAATTAAATAATAATATCTTATTAATTAATAATTTTTTTAAAAAATTAATTTTTATATATTTATTTTAAAAATTAATATTTATTTATTAATAAATTATTATTATAAAATTTATACATTACTAATATATCAAATATAAACTCGAGATATTATAGTTTCTATCATACGTTACTACTAAAAGATTTTTCCTATGCATAATCTTGTGCCACCTGCAATTACTGACCAAAAGCAAATTATTAATCTATAATTAATTAAGGTAGAAAGATTCTGATAATATAAGGTTATTGTGAAGTGGGCCAACCCTTATGGTTGTTAACACAGACTTTTCCTCCAGCTTGTAACAATTATTAATTTTTTGAATTTTTCCATGCAGCATTCCTTGAAGTTTGTTGAAAGTTGTTGAGGTGAGATATGATAATTTGTACGTGTATCATATAAAATATTAAAATTTTTATATTTATATTTAATTTTATATAAAAATTATATGTTATAATTTATATTAATATAAAGACATAAAATATATTTTTTTATTTTATTAAATTTATATATAATTATTATTATAATTTTAAATTATGTTATTTTTATGTCTTATTTTTATATTATATTTATGTCGTATTATTATGTTATATTTAAAATTATTAAATTTAGTTGAGATTGACTTTTTTTTTTATAATTGCTTTATTTTTTTGTTTATTTTAAATTATTAAATTTTGTTTATTTAATAATATATATATATATGCATGCATCGTATTAATGAGATCATGCAAGTGACGTATCTAGTTTTGCATAATGAAAATAATGAATGCCTACGTAAGTGACGTCCCTAGTTTTGCATATGGTTATCTGCTTGCGATCGCTATGATGTAACATCTATTATTAGGTTGCTATTAATTAGATATATAGTTGAGATTTGTTTAATATTAAAAAAATTGTAATGGACAAGAGAGACCAAGCTCAAATCATAATCTTTACATTTGACAATTTCAAAATTTTATTGATTTTATAAGCCATTCTTAACACATAGGCTGCTGTGGCTATAGACCTGATGATAAAGAGTGCTAACTCAACTCGAGAAAGGATCTTCTCCTCCGATAAAAAATAGTGAAGATCTCTAGCTTTCACCGTAGAATACTTTTAAACAAATTTATTTTGTCACATCATTTTACCTGTTTTATTAATTTTTATCTATTTTTTATTCAATTTATGGTCATTAAAATGTCAAGTAGAGAGTACTCCCCGTTCCATTTTTTTGTCTTTTTTTTTTTGGAATGTTTCAAAATTATATATATTTTTTAACATCTATAATTCTTATTTTTTATATTTTAAAATAATTTTTTATGATTTTTTATTTGTTTTATATTAAAAATTATAAAACTTTAATTTTAATATTAAATATATTAAAATTAAATTTTGTTTCTTAAGCTCTATAAAAATTAATACATCTCAAATATTTTAAGATGAAGAGAGTAATTTTCATATACATAAATCGCTTTAAAATAAAACAGTGAACATTTTCATTACTTTTAATCATAAAAACAATTTTTCAATATCGTACTTCTTGGGTTTATGTAATGATGACGTAATTAAAAAAAAGCGTATTATGTAATAATCTTTTAATAATTTGAATGCAAGCATACTTGGTTGCGATGATCGGGGCTAATTTGTCCGGTGTGGGACTTGCAAACAGCATTTTTTATTAATTATTGAGAGAGGCACCTGGGACGTGCGAATAGATTGTTAATGTGAAACACGAAAATACGAAAACGATATTAATTAAGATTACAAAAATAATATAATTTAAAATTAAAAAAATTATATATAAATTTAATAAAATTAAAAAATTATATTTTATAATTTTATATTAATATAATTTTTAATTTTAATTTTTATATAAAATATAATATAAATATAATATTTTATATAACATTTAACAAACCTAAATGAACCAGAAACCACTTCAACATAATGGTTGGTGGGATAAGAAGCGACGTCTTTTTAAATTTTAGATTTGGACGGTTGAACCTTACGCGGTGGAAATCGAAAACCACTTCAATATAATGGTTGGTGGGGATAAGAAGCGATGTCTTGCTAAATTTTAATTTGGACGGTTGAACCTTACGCGGTGGCAATTGAATTACACGATGCTCGGTTAGGCCGAAGATCCTGACTTACACACGTACGTGTGTGTAGATATACATGTATATATATATATATATATTATATACCCTTAATCATTTTTACAGAAAATAAAAAATAATGTAAATAAATCCTTCTCCATATATATATATATATTGCCAAAAATTTTCGTATTTTTTATAATTAATAAAAACTTGAATAGTAAAAATACAATGTATATATCATCTTGTATTAAAGACGGAGTAACATCCCACATTTTTATTTAAAAAAAAAATATAAATTAATATTTTTAAAAATAAAATATATAATCTACATCTTTAATTTTTAAATAATGTATCATTTAATCTAAATTTTAATACTATTAACTTAACATGTTATTTAACAAGTATAATTGTATTATATGCATATATTTTATTAAATAAAATTATTAAGATTTTGTAAAAACTTTATTTGGATGTCGTATCACAAATAATAATTAAACAATCTTAGATAATTTTTATGATTCAAGTAAAATATATAATTTTTAATTTATATTGAAAATAAATGTTGATAATATGTGTAATGAATATATAATTTGATAATATTTGTCAAATATCATAATATATAAAAAATGATATAGTTAATGAGATTAAAATTTAGATTAACATTATATATAATTTAAAATTTTAATGTACAAATTATAAATTTTATTTTTTAGATATTAATTTATAAATATTTTATAAAATTCAAATACTAATTGTTAAGCTGAACAAAAAATTAAAAAAAAAAAAAGAAAAAGAAAAACAATGCCCTATTTACCGACCACTTATTTCCATTGTTATGGACAAAACCCATCTGTTCTACCGAAATCTGTGGAGGAGATTAATACCTTAAATTATAATAGTACAAAACCAAATAATTTACATGGCTTGAATTGTATAGACATAGATCTTTCGAATCCATCATCTTTTGGCATTGCTGCGGTTGTGGCTCAAATGTCTTGGTGCCTCAATCAAACCAGCGCATGATTCCCACATGTTTCACAAGTTGTGTTATGGACATTTAGTACCCATTAGAGCTGTCGTCGGTGGCCAACATGCACCACGTGAACCATGGCTTTCATCTTGGAATTAGAATATCTAATGTACCAAGAACCAATGTGTTAAACAATTTGTTATTTGGCTTCGGCTTATCAACATTTAAACAACAACTAAAACGATAGAATTTTAGGTTATTATTGACTTAAATGGAACTTTAAAATCACATTCGGTTGCCATCAAGAAAATTGATGCCGTATTCAAACCAAAATTTTGTTTGAAAGTTGTTATCTTCTGATTCTTACCAATTTTGATTTTTGGTTTCCAGTTCATCGGTGACTAGGTTGTTTGCGTGCATAGGATATACAGCTGATCCTTTCCAAGGAGTTTGATTCTTGGCTTGTCAAGTGTAATTGCAGCAGATGGTGCGAGCTGGTGGGCTGCAAGGAGAACAAATATAAGCAAGTCGATCCAAATATGAACAAGAACATAGAACTCATGGTCAAATATGCTAAAAAAAAATGCAAATCCAAGTAAGAATCCAAGAATCTGGGAATGTGGTTGTTGTAACGGTTTTGAAGCCACTTGACGAATTTGAAAACGAAAATAAAAGAACGAAAAACGGAGTTGCCATTGATCACCTATTAAAATTTATCATTTTAATAAGATTTTAAAATTAATTAAAATTTATTTAAAATATAATTTTATGATCTACGAAACAATCTGGATTCAAGAGTCAGTTACGCGTAGAGAAGGATTAACACCCCCACAATGCGCGTTTAAAAACGGTACCACTTAACTATGTTTATCCATTGATTTTAATAAAAACAGTCTTATTTTTTGTGTTTGAAAAATTATTCCTTGATTTATTTTTTTTATTCATTGCATTTTTTGTTTTTCCTTTAATTTTATTTAATATTTATTATTCAAGTTTAATTCGAGAAAAATAAATTAG